ATCTGACTACCTAAGTGAAGTCAGTCTGAAAATAACAAAGATACATGGAAGACAGCAGAGACAAGAAAACTGTGGAGAAACAAAACCACGGCTCTAATAACGGTGAATTTTTATATTAAATCCATCCTGAAGCTATATGTCTTTAAAATTCCTAGTTCCCAGTAAGCTATTTTATTGTTTAAATGGTTTAAACTGAATTTTTCTCAACTCAGAAGATTTATCCTGGGGTCAGGCATGGTAACTCACACCCATAATCCTAGCATTTTGGGAGGCCAAGGTGAGAGGATTGCTTGAGCCTAGATATTTGAGACCAGCCTAGGCAACAAAGCGAGACCCCCATCTCTACAAAACATGGAAAAATTAGCTGGGTATGGTGGCGTGCACCTGTAGTCTCAGCTACTTGGGAGGCTGAGGTGGGAGGATCTCTTGAGCCCAGGAGATTAAGGCTATGGTGAGCCACGATTGTGCCACTACATTCTAGCCTGGAAGACAGAATGAAACCCTGTCTCTTTCTCTCTCTCTCTCTTTCTCTCTCTCTCTCACACACACACACACACACACACACACACACACACACACACACACACGCATGTACGCGCATGCATATTATATTATAAAAAAAGAAGAAGATTTAATGTGGGTTAGAATCTTAGCTCTGACTCTTACTTGGTATGTGCTATCAGACAATTTACTTAATTTTTTTAAGCCTCAGTTTTTCTGATCTCTAAAAATGGAAGGATATATCTTCCAATCATAATTATTTTATGAAATATGCATATATATTCTATATATGAGGGAGAATCCCCCTAAAACAGAATGCATTTTTTTTTTCAGTCGAAGTCTTACTCTGTCACCCAGGCTAGAGGGCAGTGGCACACTGATCACAGCCACCGCAGCTTCAATCTGCTGGGTTCAGGTGATCCTTCCGCCTCAACCTTCCAAGGAGTGCACAACCATGCCCGGCTAATTTTTCTTGATTTATTGCGGAGATGAGGTCTCATCAAGTTGCCCCAGGCTGTTCTTGAACCCCTAGGCTCAGGTAATCCTCTCACCTTGGTCTCCCAAAGTGCTGAGATTACAGGCGTGAGACACCATACCCAGTCAACAGAATACATTTAAAAATTATGTATTTATTCTTATGTGTTTAAACTTCAGTCACCTTCAAAGTACTCTCTGTTTGATGCAATATACACCTATCAAAACACCTTCTTCACTGCTCAAAACAGTTTTTAAACTTGTCAATTGTGTTGCCTTTTTATTGCTTCTGCAGTTTTTTGTTTCACGTTCTCCACATTTTGGCAAAACATTTCCCTATGAGAACTTTTTTCATCCCGGGAAACAAAAAAAAAAGTTGCTCAAGGTGAGATCAGGTAAATAGGGAGGGTGTGGCATGGGGATCATGCTATTTTTGGTCAAAATTGCCGAACACTCAGCAAGGTGTGGGCAGGTGTGTTGTCATAGTTAAAAAACCAGGCCAGGTGCGGTGGCTCAAGCCTGTAATCCCAACACTTTGGGAGGCCAAGAAGAGGGATTGCCTGATTGGTGAGACCTCATCTCTATGATAAATCAAAAAATAAGCCAGGCATGGTAGTGTATGCCTGCAGTTCCAGCTACCAGCTACTTGGAAGGCTGAGGCAGAAGGATCTCCTGAACCCAGCAGGTTGAGGTTGAAGTGGCTGTGAGCATGCCACTGCACTCCAGCCTGGGTGACATAGTGAGACTCCAACTTAAAAAAAAAAAAATAAAGAACCAGTCACCTGTTTGTCACAACTTGGGATGTTTCTTCTGCAAATTCTGACATAACCTTCTCAAAACTTCCAGATAAAAACTTTGATTGACCATTTGATCCAAAGGAACAAATTCCAAGTTTACAAGGGGCCCGCCCTTCAAAATATAATTTCAGGTTTTTTGGGGTTCCCTTTGTATAGTATATATACTACCTATATAAATAGCTTTACCCATGTTAAACACTCAGTAAGTGATAGTATTTTTTTGTTTGTTTTATATAAAGAAGACAATTATATCTACCTGTCAAATTAACACATAATCTATGTTAAATGCCTAGTGAATGTAGGGCCTGACCCCTAGGAGTGTCATCAGGACCAGGATGGGATTTTCCTGCTGCCCTAGACTGCGAACTTGCATCCAGGGTTGCCAAACTGGACAAATAAAATACAAGATGCCCAGTTTAATTTCAATTTTAGATAAACTAGGTATAAATTCTTTAGTATAAGTATGTCTCCCACAACACTTGGGACATACTTATCTTTAAAATTGCCCCTTGTTTGCTTGAAGTTCAAATTTAACTGCACATTTATTTTGTCTTGCAGTTCTACACTGTTAAGTTAAAATCCCAGTAGGGGCCTCCGATTGTTAGGTCAGGCCCAATGGGGGGGGGTGGTATCTAGTGCCACACAAAAGATGCAAAAAATAGCATAGAAGTTAGATTGGAAAATATAGTTTATTTAGAAAGTAAATTAGAGAGAAGAGAGAGGAGGTTCACCTCCCCAAGGTAGGAGAGGGGGCCAAAGCTTAGGAAACATGGTGGCGGCTATAGCTTAAAGAGCACATGGCTACACCAGAGTTTAATAAAGCAATGACCAGTATTTTTTTTTTTTTTTTTTTTGAGCTAGAGTCTCACTGTGTCACCTGGGCTGAGACTCAGGCACATTCACTGCCACCGCTGCCTCAGTCCACTAGGCTCAAGTGATCCTTCCACTTCAGTCTTCCAAGTAGGTGGAACTATAGGTACACACCACCACACTCGGATAATTCTTTGATTTATTATAGAAACGAGGTCTCGCCAAGATGCCCACCATTGTCTCAAACCCCTGGACTCAGGCAATCCTTTGGCCTCTGCCTCCCAAAGTGCTGGGATTACAGGCATGAGTCACCATGCCCGATTTGATAGTGTTTTTTTGTTTGTTTGTTTTGTTTTTGTTTTTGTTTTGTTTTGAGTTGGAGTCTCACTCTGTCACCCAGACGAGTGCAGTGGCCGCTGCTGGCCACCGCAGCCTCCACCTGCTGGGCTCCGACGATCCTTCTGCCTCAGTCTTCCAAGTAGCTGGAACCACAGGCGCACGCTACCACGCCCGGCTAATTTTTTGATTTATTGTAGAGAT